CAAAGATGTGCAGGTTAGGTGGACTGGCCATGCTAAATTGCCCGTAGTGTTCAGGGATGTATAGATTAGGTGGGTTATAGGGGGATGGGTCTGGGTGGGATGCTCCGAGGTTCAGTGTGGACTTGTTGGGCCAAAGGGCCTGTTTCCACACTGTATGGATTCTATGAGGAAAATATGTGAAGTCTTAGTTTGAAGACTTTATGCTGAACACATTGGATGCAAAAAATGAAGTATAGTTTACAATAATATGAGTGTTGTTAAAACATGCACCTTTTTGTGTAGTATTTTTGCCTAGATTTTGTTTTATATATACAGTATGCAAGAACTTTTGAATTTGCTCATGTAAATCATTCATACCAGAAGTTGTCTGTATGACAACCTGCTCTTTTCCAGCACTATTTTGAATACAATGTTACTCAGGTTTATAATGCATTTTAATCCTACAATTAACTTCAATGTCTGTGGGCTACATTGGAAAGAAAGGTCAGAGTCCTCTGCTTCACTTATCTGAAAATCTGTGCCGATGTGCTGAAGTCTGTGCTGATGGAATGTCAGGTCAGATCAGCACTGGGCTAGGCTGTGATGCAGACTATGTTGCAGGTGGATAGATTTTATTCGATTATAAGTGTCAAGGTTCACACAAGTGACAGGTATTGTGCCAAAACTTATAGGAGAGTGGTGAGGAAGAATTGAGTGTTTTTTTTGGTGATCTGCCCCAACCCCACTTTTCCTGTAGGCCCTGTTATTTCTTTAGAGCGATTTTCTATAACATGATGTCATGCTGGAATGCAACTATTGCGTTATAGCAGAGTCCCCTGTATTCTTGGTGCAGTCTAACTAGTGTCTTGTATTGTATTAACAAGATTTCCCTACCATTATGCTCCATTCTCAATGAAATAAAGGCTAGCATTCTATTTGCCTTCCCTACGTTCTGCTGAACTTGGATGCCAGCTTTTCAGGTTGTGACTAGTGGTGTCCCACAGGGATCAGTGCTGGGATTCCGCTGTTCATGATCTACATAAATGATTTGGAGGAAAATACAGCTGGTCTAATTGGTAAGTTTGCGAGCGATACAAAGATTGGTGGAGTTGCAGACAGTGAGGAGGATTGTCAGAGGATACAGCAGGATATAGATAAGTTGGAGGCATGGGCAAAAAAATGGCAGTTGGAGTTTAATCTGCACAAATGTGAGGTGATGTATTTTGGATGGTCAAGTACAGGTGAAAATTATACAATCCCCTTTATTCATTCACGGGATCTAGGCATCGCTGACCAGGCAGCATTTATTGCCCATTCCTAATTGCCCAGAAGGCAGTTTAGAGTCAACCACGTTGTTGTGGGTCTAGAGTCACATGTAGGCCAGACCAGGTATAGATGGCAGTTTCCTTCCCTCAAGGGCATCAGTGAACCAGATGGGTTTTTCCGACAATCAACAATGGTTTCATGGTCATCATTAGATTCTTAGTTCCAGATATTTTTATTGAATTCAAATTTCACCATCTGCTGTGGCGGGATTCAAACCTGGGTCCGCAGAACGTTATCTGGGTCTCTGGATTAACAGTCCAGCGATAATACCACTAGGCTATTGCCTCACCAGTGAATGGCAGAACCCTTATGAGTATTGATATGCAGAGGGATCTGGATGTTCAGGTCCACAGATCACTGAAGGTAGCAGCGCAGGTAGATAAGGTAGTAAAAAAGGCCTATGGCATGCTTGCCTTCATTGGAAGGGGCTTTGAGTATAAGGATAGACAAGTTATGCTGCAGCTTTATAGAACTTTAGTTAGGCACACTTGGAATATTGTGTACAGTTCTGGTCACCACACTACCAAAAGGATGTGGATGCTTTGGAGAGGGTATAGAAAAGGTTTACCAGAATTTTGCCTGGTATGGGGGATGTTAGCGATAAAGAAAGGTTGCATAGACTGGGTTTGTTTTCACTGGAAAGCAGGAGGTTGAGGAGCGACCTGATGGAAATTTATAAGATTGTGAATGGCATGGATAGAGTGGAAAGTATGAGGCTTTTTCCCAAGGTGGATTAGACAATTACTAGGGGACACAGGTTCAAGGTGTGAGGGGGGCAAGTTTAAAAGAGATCTGCGAGGCAAGCTTTTCACACAAAGGATGGTGAGAGTTGCCAGAGGAGGTGGTGGAAGCAGACACAATAACAGCATTCAAGAAGCATCTGGATAAATACACAAATAGAAAGGGAACAGAGGTATTCGATCCTAACAGTAAAGACAGTTTTAATATGGAAGGGTAAGATGTGTCAGTGCAGGATTGGAGAGCTGAAGGCCCTCTTCCTGTGTAGTATTGTTCATTGGTTTTCATGATTTACGCTTGAGGACTCCCATATTTATGTCGTCATTGTCTACAGGAATAGTGGCAGAAGACTGGAGACTAGCAAATGTTGTCCCCTTGTTCAAGAAAGGGAGTAGAGACAACCCTGGTAATTATAGACCAGTGAGCCTTACTTCGGTTGTGGGTAAAGTGTTGGAAAGGATTATAAGAGATAGGATTTATAATCATCTAGAAAGGAATAATTTGATTAGGGATAGTCAACACGGTTTTGTGAAGGGTAGGTCATGCCTCACAAACCTTATTGAGTTCTTCGAGAAGGTGACCAAACAGGTGGATGAGGGTAAAGCCGTTGATGTGGTGTATATGGATTTCAGTAAAGCGTTTGATAAGGTTCCCCATGGTAGGCTATTGCAGAAAATACGGAGGCATGGGATTGAGGGTGATTTAGCGGTTTGGATCAGAAATTGGCTGGCTGTAAGAAGACAGAGGGTGGTGGTTGATGGGAAATGTTCATCCTGGAGTTCAGTTACTAGTGGTGTACCTCAAGGATCTGTTTTGGGGCCACTGCTGTTTGTCATTTTTATAAATGACCTGGATGAGGGCGTAGAAGGATGGGTTAGTCAATTTGCGGATGACACCAAACTCAGTGGAGTTGTGGATAGTGCGGAAGGATGTTGCAGATTACAGAGGGACATAGATAAGCTGCAGAGCTGGGCTGAGAGATGGCAAATGGAGTTTAATGCGGAAAAGTGTGAGGTGATTCACTTTGGAAGGAGTAACAGGAATACAGAGTAAGATTCTTGGTAGTGTGGATGAGCAGAGAGATCTCAGTGTCCATGTGCATAGATCACTGAAAGTTGCCACCCAGGTTGATAGCGTTGTTAAGAAGGCGTACAGTATGTTAGGTTTTATTGGTAGAAGGATTGAGTTTCGGAGCCATGAGGTCATGTTGCAGCTGTACAAAACTCTGGTGCGGCCGCACTTGGAGTATTGCGTACAGTTCTGGTCACCGCATTATAGGAAGGATGTGGAAGCATTGGAAAGGGTGCAGAGGAGATTTACCAGGATGTTGCCTGGTATGGAGGGAAGGTCTTATGAGGAAAGGCTGAGGGACTTGAGGCTGTTTACGTTAGAGAGAAGAAGGTTAAGAGGTGACTTAATAGAGACATACAAGATGATCAGAGGATTAGATAGGGTGGACAGTGGGAGCCTTTTTCCTCGGATGGTGATGGCTAGCACGAGGGGACATAGCTTTAAATTGAGGGGTGATAGATATAGGACAGATGTCAGAGGTAGGTTCTTTACTCAGAGAGTAGTAAGGCATGGAATGCCCTGCCTGCAAAAGTAGTAGACTTGCCAACTTTAAGGGCATTTAAATGGTCATTGGATAAACATATGGATGATAATGGAATAGTTTAGGTTGGATGGGCTTCAGATTGGTTTCACAGGTCGGCGCAACATCGAGGGCCGAAGGGCCTGTACTGCGCTGTAATGTTCTAATGTTCTAATGTTCTAATATTACTTCATGCTGCAGCTTTCTGCAGTCTTTCTCCATTTAAATGGCATTCAGCTCAGCTCTTCTTCCTGCCAAAGTGCATAACCTTACATCTTCCCTCACGATATTCCATCTTCCAAGTTTTTGCCAACTTACCTGACCTGCCTATATCCTTCTAAAGACTCTGGGTTATGCTTGCCACTTACTTTATCACCTATTTTTGTATCATCCACAAACTTTGCAATAGTTCATTAATTTTCCTCATCCAAGTCATTTATATATATTGAAAGTAATTATTAAGAGTCCATTGCTATCCATTTTTACATCACTTGATAGTTTACCATCAAACTTTACTTTCTCCATTTTAAATAATTGTTATTATTAAAACTTTCACAATCCATTCATCTTTTTTATGTTGTATGTTGGTTGCTGTCAATTTGACGCTCAATTTCTCTGATTTGCCATGATTGGTTTATCCCCTTCCTAGAATCCTTCTTCATGACTACAATTACGTTTCTTCTGAGTCTGAAACATCTCCCTATGTTCTTTATCTGTCTTTTCTGCTAAATTCCTTTCCCAGTTCACTGGGGTCAGTAAGCTCAGTTGACTGGTTTGTAATGCAGAGTGACACCAACAGTGTGGGTTAAAGTCCCACAAAAGTTTTTTTTTAAATTCATTCACAGGCTGTGGATGTGTCCACAGGACTCATTGCCCAGAGGGCAGTAAAGAGTCCCCCACATTGCTGTGGGTCTAGAGTCACATGTAGACCAGACCAGGTAAGGATGGCAGTTTCCTTCCCTCAAGTGCATTAAAGAACCAGATTGCTTTGGTTTTCCTCCCCCAACAATTGGCAGCAGTTTCATGGTCAACATTAGACTCTTAATTCCAGATTTTTCGTTGAATTCAAATTCCACCATCTGCCATGGCACAGATTCAAACCCGAATCCACTGAACATCACCGGGGTCTCTGGATTAATAGTCTAGTGATAATACCTCCTCATAAGTGCTAAGGTTAATATGAAGGACCTTCCTTCTGAATCTCTCCCCTCACCTGAAGAATGGTGACCCTCAGGTTAAAACACGCGGTTGTCCATCTCTAAAGAGACAGCAGCCTATGGTTTAATGGGACGAGGGCAACTTTGCAGTTGTAAAGCACGGTTGTTTCCAACCCAAGTTTTTAATGATAATTGGTAAAAGCTCTTACCTAGTTCTCCTCCAACAATCGAGAAGTCTTTTTTCAAAATGACCCACTTATGAATTTGCTGAGCCTGAGATATGGCACCTTTATTGACAGCATCAATTCCATTCTGAATGGCTTTGTAAACTGAAGGATCTTGCATCCTTAACACATCTGACACGGTGTTAGCTGGGCATCCAAACTTGCGGCAAAATGCAAGAGCTGCTGGAGCCAATTGATCTAGTGGGGCTCCTGTTTCATCATCCATGTAAGTCTGTGGAGAGCAGGAAGAGAAAGACAGACAAAAATAATGTCAGTTATGAAAATTACTTTGCATCATAAAAATCGTGTGAGAAACACTACATTAACTATCATTCCTTAAAAGTGGTTCATGCAATTTCCATTTGCATTATGGTTATTCAATCATCCCAATTGTTTCTATTTACATAGTGAATATCTTAGCCAGATAGATCAAAAAGTCCTAATTCAATTCCCAGTCTAAACAGAAAATCAATTTAAAAATAAAGATACATTTCAAACAAATGGAAATGAGTTTTAGGACTTGCTAGTTTCAAATCTTACATATTCTGTGATGAAATCCTTTCTTTGATTGTAATTATACATAATGTGTAAGCTAGCAATCTGTGAATATTGTAATATTTAGGGAACAAAAATGCAAGCTACATTTCAGTTCCATTGCTTGTGGCTACATTCAGTTCTACTAAACATTAGGGGCAGGGCTTGTTGCAAGGGTCAGTGAAGAACAGATCAAAGTATTATAGTTAATTGGACTCGTATTACTTTCAATTATTTTGCCAGTAACTTTAAATCTGTGCCCTCTCATTCTCGATTCTTTCACAAAGTGGGAATATTTTCTCCCTACTTACTATGTCTCTATTGATCTCTAAGTACTGCGATACTTCAATTCGAACTCCCCTGAGCCTTTTCTTCTCCAAAGGAGACAGTCAGTCCTGGCTTCTCCAATCTATTTTCACAACTGAAATTTCTCAACCTTGGAATTATTCTCATAAGCCTTGTCTGCGCTCTGTCCAATGCCCTCAAAACCCTTCCTAAAAGAAAGCGCCCAGAACTGGATAGCAAGACTCCAGCTGAGGCCAACCTAACGTCTTATATAAATTCAACATAACCTTCCTGCTTTAACATATATCTCTTTTAATAAAGTCCTAATCTCTCCTACAAGTGAAAACATCTCCACATCTACTCTGTCCAGACCTCTTGGTATTCTGTAAATTTCAATCAGCTCCCCCCTCATCTTCTAAACTACATCAGGTACCGAACCAAAGTCCTCAACCGCTTCTCATATGACAAGCCCTTTATCCCCAAGATCATTCTGTGGACCCCCTCCAAGGCCCACACATCATTCCTTAGATACGGGGCACAAAACTGCTCACAACAATATCACAATATTCCAAATGTGGTCTGACCAGAGCTTTATACAGCCTCGGCAGTACATCTCTGCTCTTATATTCTAGCCCTCTTGAAATGAATACTAACATCGCATTTGTCTTCCGAACTGCCAATTGAACCTGCAATTTAACCTTAAGAGAATCCTGAACTGGTATTGCCAACTCCCTTTGTGCTTCAGATTTCCAAAGCCTTTTCCCATTTAGTAAATAGTCTATGCCTTTATTCTTCCTACCAAAGTGTATAACCTCACACTTTCCCATAGTCTTCCATCTGCCACTTCTTTGCCCACCCTCCTAGCCTAAATCCTTCTGCAGCCTCCCTACTTCCTCAACACTACCTGCCCCTCCATTCTGTGTCATCTGCAAATTTAGCAATAATGCCCTCAGTTCCTCCATCCAAATTGTTAATGTATAACATGAAGAGTTGTGAATACTCCCAACACAGACCCCTGTGGCACTCCACTAATCACCAGCTGCCATCCTGAAAAAGATTCCTTTATCCCCACTCTCTGCTTTCTGCTAGTCAGCCAATCCTCTTTCCATGACAATATTTTGCCCCTAACACCTGGGATCTCAGCTTATTTAGCAGCCTCCTGTGCGACACCTTGTTAAAGTCACAATGCATTGTAGAACAGACTCACGACCCTCAATAGTCTATTGCTGTTTATAAATTCCTATATTGTGTGTTCATAATTATATAGGACTTTACTGAGACCACACACGGAGAGCTGTCTGAGAAAGGTTAATTAATTGCCTTCGTGTGAACATTTCACCAGACTGATTTAAGCTCCAAGCTTAGGTAAACTCCTGTCTCTGATCTCAGTATGTCACAAAAGTCTGATTCCTGGATAGAAATCTGTGTTTCACCTGCAGAGTGAACCAATGTCCAGTTTGTACCTACTGCAGCTTCACCAGCAATTTCTCTGTAACCGAGCTCCTGCAAAAGAAAGACCTTTGTCCACAGCTAACAAAAAGAAAGCTCCACAGGATATTGACTTACTGGACTTTCTAACTCATGTGAACTAAATTTGATACCTTTGATTTGATGCATTTTTTCATCTGTCACTTCTTTCTCTTTTCTTTCATTTTTGGAAGCATGTGTATATGTGAATGTCCATCACAAACTATTTCCCTGGGTTTTGAATGCAGAAATAAACCCTACCTGGTTTTAACTCTAAGGAATTTGTTGAGAGTCATTGTTAAGTGCACTTCACAAGTGGTGTTTGGGGAAATATACCACAGCCTATTTTCAAGAAGGGAAATAAAAATAAGAAAATAAATTTAAAAACTATTGTTACAAACAGAAGAGGAGAACAGTGGGAATAATTTAATTCACTTTTCCCTCCTCTGAGACACCTACCCACCCGCATCAGACACTTGTCAAATTTTGTAGATAGAACAGAAGAAGTGTTCAGAGGAAGGGTCATTCATCCCAAAATGTTAACTCTGATTTCTCTCTGCAGATACTGCCAGACCTGCGGAGCCTTTCCAGCAATTTCTGTTTTTGTTACAGAGAAAGTGATGTTTTTTGACCTTATTCTGTGCAATTTTCTGCTTTAACATCCATCGTGTAATAACAGTGAAAAAGCTCATGATCTGGTGTCACCAACAAAGAAGCATCGGAACACGCGACACTAAAAAATAAAGACCATGTTAGTTTCTGCACAATGACACTTACCTTCAAAGTGAGAAGCATGGAGAGGAATTTCCTTTTATCACCAATGAGCATGGCATTGCTAATGATAGGAAGTTTTGCCTTAACAGCATCCTCGATGGGGACTGGAGCTATGTTCTCTCCACCAGCTGTGATCAACAACTCTGGAATTAAAACATTGAAATAAGTTGCGCAATTCACTACATTAATTACTTGTTTTTATGCCTGATGAATAGTTAAGAAAATGTACCAAATGAATGGCACAGCATTATATGATTTCTAAATGGCAAGTCAGGCCCATTTTCTGCCTTTTCTTGTAAATAATGGAATACAAAATCATAGATATTCACATCCATTGATCACAACTAAGCAGCAACAGATACTAAATAGCTAGTAATAATAAGCTACTAAATATTGTGTCAGATAGTTAGCCACCCCAATTTATTAAATGTAAAATCTCATTATATACAATTTCAATATAGAATTCATTCAGGAGCATTACAGGACTAGACTGTAATTAGGATAAGGAGGGTATGACATGAAAACTCGTTTCTTCCAAAAGATGCATGCCCTACAATGAAGATGTAATTTTTCACTTTTTGTTTCCTATGATTTGCACTTACATTTCACTTGTTTTATGTATTTCACTTTTTACTTAAACAGTACAACAACTTTGGAAATGAGCATGAGTTTGACCCTGGAGTACCATTGCACAGGCAATCATTCGAGGGAATGCAGGATCAGTTCTCTTTACCAGTGGCCTCCCAATCATTGTATACTATCTATACTGTTAAATGGCAGTCAGAACATGTTCAATTTTCTTTTGCTCCTCCATACAAGCTAATAGTAGCAATGCAAAGGCCCAGGTTGAGCAATCACTCAGCAGCCTCAGGGCAGTGAGACTGATAGGGGGTGTACGTGGGAAGAACATGCACCAAGAGACAAGGAAAGGAGGGCTAATTTCATCAACAATTTCAAAGCTCAACAAGTCAGTACAATGCCAAAATTTGGTCCAAAAATTGCTTTTACTAACAATATGCTCTTGCCTGAAATGATGTGAGAACTCAATGAGCAAAATTTTAAGATCTTTGATAAAAACAAGCCTGCAGATTTCTTCAGAGGAGATGAGCAAGCCACTTTTAAGTGATCTTTGATGTTGGCATAAAGTCTGATACAGATGTCAGCTTTGGGCCAGTGGTAGAACTGAAGTAGTTCAAGTCCAAATGTAATGTTATGATCCCAGCTGATGTTATTACTGGACAATTCCAATCCCATACTGAAATCTGGCTTGATTGACCATATTTTGCGTTTTTAAATTTAGCAAGGTAGTCTTTCACTGAAACACAAGTGTGCAATGCTGTAGATTTAACACTTACAATAAAACAGATCTTTATACATGAAAGAAAACCTAGAATACAATAAATCAAGATATCAGTTTGAAAGATTTTGAAACACAGTAAAAATACAATCCTATCTATCCCAACGTTATCACTTTACAGTACTCAAACACCAAACAGTTTGCTTTCCTTCACATCTATAGGTTTAATTTAACTGTTTCTTTTAATTCCCAGTGTTGAGAGTTTGGAAGCCATTTCCTTGATTATTTGTACCAGTGAGCTTAGATTTTCTCAGCTCTGAATAGCCCTTTCAGGGGTTCTAACCAAACATTTCTGAAATCATTACACTGCAGTAAACCATTTCTGAGTTGGTCTGATCCATCTCCTTTCCACTGGAGAAACTGTCTCAAACAGCGAACTTCAACCTATACTTCTGCAAACTGAAACCCAGAGCTTGGAAAGTTTTGGGTTTTAACCCCAAAGAAAAGCATTCTGATTCTTCTAAACTGAAAGCGGGTTAATGCTCTTCACTGCTTACTGCATATGCTGATAAAACTCTCCCAAAACAACAAATACCTATTATTAGCCCAGCGAGTCCCCATCAGATATTTTTTAAAATAACCCTTGCCTCCAGAAATATTGGCAAGTTAACCATTAAGCCCTCTCATACACACAGACCAAAACCAACATGCCACTATGTCAAAATACAGACTCTCAATTGAAATGTACACATAGATAAATCATACAATGTACATCACAATAATAAGACTAGGACGACATTCGAGCATGAGATGAAAAATTGCAACATTCATGCCATGCAAGTACCAGTCAATGCCCATCTCCAACCCTGCAAAATTAACTCTTTCCCTTGATATTCAGCAGCACTTTTGTCACTCAATCCACCACTGCCAACTTCCTGGGTGTTAACAGTGACCAGAAACCGAATAGACATAAAAATACCGTGGCTATAACTGTAGGTCAGAAACTGGGAATTCTGCAGCGATCACACTTATTGACTTCTCAAAACCTGTTTACCACCTACAAGGCACAAATCAGGGGTGTGATGGAATATTCTCTACTTGCCTGGATGAGTGCAGCTCCAACAACATTCAAGAAGTTTGACACCATCCAGAACTCAGCAGCTTGCTTGATTTTAAAGCTATCCACCACCTTAAACATTCACACACACCACCACCAGCACAAAGCAACAGCAGTGTGCACCATTTAAAGATGCACTTTAAAGAAACTCTCCAGGGCTCCTTCCACAGCAGCATCCAAACCTGAGACCTCTACCGTTTAGAATAGCAAAAGCAACAGATACATGGGAACACTTAAGTCCCTCTCAAAGCTACAGACCACTTGATTTCAATATTATAGTGAGAGATGGGGAATTTAAACTCATGAACTTATAATATTAAAACTACTGGCACTGATTTAGATATTAGATTCAGAGACACACAGTCTAGTTAGCCCTGCAGTTTCCTCTCGACTAACTTCTGGGGTCAAAATTGGAGATATATTCCATGGCTGAGTTAAGCAACAGGCTATACAATCCATACTCATAGAACTTAGAGATGGCAGTGCAAGTGTTGTACACTCAGGAAGGAGTGAATCTATGAGTTCAACGTAGAGACCTCATCCCATGAATTCTTACTGCATCAAATCAAGTCTCCTTCAGTTTATGAGACAATAATCCTCCATGTAAAATACAACCAGAATAAGCTAAGGGACAGAATGTACTCTTGATGGGAGACTTATATGCCAATCATCAAAAATGGCTCTGTTGCGCGAGAGACTGCACTGGCCAAGTCCTGAAATAACCGTTAGACTGGGCCTGCAGCAGGCAGTAAGGGAATCAAAACAAGAACAAACCTACTTGGCTTTGTTGTCACCAGCCTGACTGTCACCAATACGTTTGTTCACAACAGTTTTAGCAGTAGCTACTCCCACACATGTTCTCCTGGAGAGCAAATTCTATTTTCACACTCCATTGGACTATGTGGCACAACCATGCTAAATTAGATATTGTTATGATCTTAATGCAGACTAGTAATTTTGAAAACATAATCTAAAATCTAGGCATCTACTGAAAGAATGAAGACACAGAGTTTTACAGCTTAAAATAGAAAACTTTCACCATACAAAAAGAGTAAAACAAATCAAACACTAAATACCATCACAGGTAACCTCCTAACCTTTAAAACACAGAATCAAGAGAAGTTAAATGTAAATTAACAAGCAAATTGCAGTTGTTCAACAGTTCCACCCTTGAACTTGTTAAGGCCCTTAAGGAGTCAATTAATGGGTACTTAAAAGTTCTCATCCCACCACTTCCACTTTCTTAAACCTAGTGATGAAGAAGCACGTCCCATGCAGGAAACTCAGCAACTTTAATTGATCTTCTTGAGCCTATCAAACATACATACACCCACCATCAGGTTCTTTCTGACCTTTCGGCCATCAAATCTCTTCACAATCATACTAAGACATAGAAAACAGGAGACGAGTAGGCCATTCAACCCTTTGAGCCTGCTCTGCCATTCAATATCATCATGGCTGATCCTCTATCTCAATGACATACTCCTGCTTACTACCCGTATGTCTTGATTCTTTTAAAATCTAAAAACGTATATCTCTTTTTCTTGAATGTGTTCAGTGTCATAGTCTCCCTAGCATTCTGCAATAGGGAGTTTCACAGGTCCACTATCCTTTGAGTGAAGTAAGTGTTTCCTCATCTCAGCCAGCTGAGCACGTTTATTCAAAAAGTAGTTCATTACACAGACTAGGAAAGCTTTTAATTCAATTCCAGGAATGTATTAGGCTAGCTGATTTCGGTTACGGAAGAACAGTCAAGATCCTTAACTCCATCTGTTTAAGACCAATCAAATCTGCAAAGTGCCCAAGGGAACCATTTGAGCCAGGACAGAATAAAGGTAAATTGGCCAGCCCCCTATTATCAGATGACCTGGCAATACATACACTCAGAAGTGGTGAATGAGCACTTTGAGAAAATATCCCAGAACCATGACTCCACAAAAAGTTAATGATTTCAGAATAGGATGGGGGAGGATTAAAATTGCCATATAAAGCATAAGCCAAGTTACCTTTTATTCTGCCTGTGACATAAAGAAATCCATCTTCATCATATCTTCCCACGTCTCCTGAGTGCAACCAGCCCTTTTCATCTAGAGCTTCTTTAGTCTGTTCGGGCATATTCAAGTATCCCATGAAGACATGTCTTCCCCAAAAACATATTTCTCCAGTGCCTTCTTCATTTGGTTTGTCAATCTTAGTTTTGCATCCCATCATCTCCTTTCCACAGCTGGAGAGATGAGATTGGAGAACAAAATTATTCAAGAAGACATTCATCAAGCTTAAAATGTAACAGTTGACATTGGAACAGGCAGGTGGATTGCCAAGTAATGGGATCAAATGGTAATGAGGTCCTTGAATAGGCAGCAGGCAAAGGTTATCAGGAAGGAAAGATTGTAATGCAAGATCACTCACCTCACCGACACAGTTACACAGTCATATTAGCAGCGCACTTTAGAAGGATTACTCCCACCCAAAAGAAAGATATTTCTGACAAAAGGTATAAAACATGAAAATTTACAGAAAAATCTTTGCTCCATTTCTTCTAATCAAGATAGCCAGGTAAGATATACAGCGAGCCACAAAGGAAGAATTTATGGAAGGAAATGCCATCAAAATACAGAATCATGGAATTATGATGGTGCAAGAGGAGGCCAATCAGCTCATCCTGCCTGCATCAGCTCTATGGCCTAGTCTGGCTCTACTAACCAGTGCTAATCTCCAGCCTTTTCCCCATATCCCTGCACGCCATTGCTTTCCGAAGAAAAGACAAGCCCACCTGACTGTCACATTTGAAGCTACCTCCACCATATTTCCAGGCAATGCATTCTAAACCCTAATAATTCACTGTAAAAAAAAAATTGACATATCAATCTTGGTTCATTAGCACATCACTTTAAATTTGTGCCCTCTCATTCTTGTTTCTTTTACAAGCACAAACAGCTTCAACCTGCCTACTCTGTCCAGCCTGCTGATGGTTCGGAAAACCTCAATCAGATCTTCTCTCCAGGGAGAACAGTCCCAATATTTTCAAACTATCCTCATAGCTGAAGTTTATCACACCTGGAACCATTCTAGTGAATCACTTCTGCACTCTCTCCAACTTATTTACATTAAAAACAGTTGTCACAAATCATGCGTCCCTTACATAAGGCAGAGTGTAGTGCTGACTTTATACAATTGCATCGTTCAAAGTCAGTGACTCAGATAAGGGCGATCCCAATTAATAATACAGTATAATCAAGCAAGGGACAATCAAGGGCAAGGAACACTAGTGGACTAGAAAATGAGAATAATAGTCATAACAGATTTGATTGTCGGGGTAAAGATAGCTTGTTTTGCTGTAGTAACCAGGAGTGATAAATATTTTACTTAAAAGTACTATGGGCTCCAAGTTACAAAAGAAACAAAACAGATACTGAGAAGATAAAGGAAAGATTTGCACAGATGACACCAAAACTTAGTATTCAGCAATAAAGACTGAACAGGCTAGAGCTCTTGCCTTCAGCATAAAACAAACTGTTTTCATGAGTTGACAATTCAAATCCGGGGCTCATAAATTATAAGATAGTCATTTATAACCCAATGAGGAATTCTAGAGAAATTTCCTTTTACCCAGAAAGAGCAGCTAAAATGTGGAATGGATGGTTTAAATGATTATGTTAAAACACATGGTGGTGTAGTGGTAATGTCACAAGACTAGTAATCTAGATATCCAACAATGCTGTGAAGACATGGGTTAAAATCACATCATTGGAGATGATGAATTCAAATTCAATCAACAAAATATGGAATTGGATTCTAATCTTGGTAATGGTGACCAACAATCACTGTTTGTCATAAAAACACATCTAATTCACTATTGCTATTTAGGGACCAAAATCTACTATCTTCACTTGGCCTGGCCTACACATAACAAAAACAGAAGTTGCTGGAAAAGTTCAGCAGGTTTGGCAACATCTGTGAAGAAAAAATCAGAGTTAACATTTCCTCAGAACTGAGGAAGGGTCACCGGACCCAAAATGTTAACTCTGATTGTTTTCTTCACAGATGCCGCCACACCTGCTGTGATTTACTGGCAACTTCGGTTTTTGTTCCTGATTTACAGCATCCGCAGTTCTTTCAGTTTTTATGGCCTATATATAACTCACAGTTCCACAGAAACATGGTTGACTCTTTGCTTTCCTCAGTTCAAAGGGACAAGCAGCAAATACTGCACTTGCTAACGATGCTCACACCCCGTGAAAGAATCATGAGAAAGCAAATGCGAGAAAAGGGAGAAGAGAAAAAAGCAAGGCCTGCAACTGATAGAAAGCAGGAGAGATTAAATGATAAAAAGGATGCAGTGCAAGGCAAATGTCAATGGATAAACAAGGACACAGAAGATGAGACCTGGGACCTCAATAAGAATAGTAGAATCACAGTAGCTCAGCTGCATTAAATACGCACTGTGGTTATGATCTGAAGCTGTTGAGAAAATTATCCTTGTGAAAGAACTGTGTTCTTTTATCTTAGTTTCTTTGCTTCGATCACATCTGTCCTGATGATGGCACCTTCCACACTAGTCCTTCTGATATATCTTCCTTCTTGAACAATCATTGTTGTCAGGGCCCTCAGCCATGCCTGCCTCATTCCTGCACTTCTGTCCTCAGTCCTTCTTTTCTCCTTCAGAGTTCTCCTGGTCCTCCTCATTCTACACCCCAACTGCCTCCACATTTAATTAATCACTCTGCCATTTCCACCACCTCCAGTGTAATGTCGCTACCAACATATCATCCCTCACACTCATTTTCAACTTGTTCTGTGACACCTTAGTCCACTTTTCAATCATACCAACAGCTCTCTACTCTTCCTGTACAAGCCCAGGATATGCAATATTTGCCTTATTACCACTTCCCTTCCTATAATCCAAGTTTCCAAATACTCCCTTCAGGTGACAGAGTTATTTACTTGTATTTAGATTCATAGACTCATAGATGTTTACAGCACAGAAGGAGATCATCTGACCCATTGTGTCCATGCTAGTCAATAGAGATTTGACTGCACTAATCCCATTTTCCAGCTTTTGGCCCATAGCCTTGGAGACCATGGCAATGCAAATGAATATCTAACTTCTTTTCATTCATTCATAGATTGCGGGCATCGCTGATTGGGCCAGCATTTAATGCCCATCTCTAATTGCCCAGAGGGCAGTTAAGCATCAACCATATTGCTGTAGGTCTGAAGTCATGTGGAGGCCAGACCGGATGAGGATGGCAGATTTCCTTCCCTGAAAGACAGCAGTAATCCAGATTGGTTTTACCAACAATCGGCAATGATTTCATGGTCATAATTAGACTCTTAAGTACATATTTTTTATCAAATCCAAATTCCACCATCTGTTATGACAGGAATCAACCCGGGGACCCAGAACGTTACCTGGATTAATAATCTAGCAACAATATCATGAGGTCATTACCACCTGCCTGCTTAAATGTTAAAAGTTTTTGACTCAGCCACTATTTCAGCTTCTTTCTATTTAATAAACAATATTCACTGCTTTTGGTGCATTTACATCTGTATTGGGAAGAATAAACACAGTTTAGGTGGTCAATTTGCAAAGCTCTCTCCTTCAATCTACAAAGGGCAACCTTGGGTTTCCAGTCATGTGTCATTTTAGGTTCACAGCCTACTTCCACTTTGATTTCTTTCTTCAGCCTCTTATCCTGTTCCAATAAACCGTAGAGGACAACAGCTCAACTTCAGAATTTACAGCCTTCTGGACTTAACTGCCCTCTGGGAAATAAATACTACTCTGGCCAGCAACACCCATATCCCATGAACAAATAAAATAAAACAAAGCAGAATCCAACAATGTTAGACGATGTTATTTAGCAACTGAGTTTTTGGTAATAATTATCCTATTCACATCTCCTCTAAACTGTTCTTTTTTAATTTTTTTTTAAAACATGTTTGTTCACTACCCTGATTTTCTACATTATTCTTGTATGGGATGTTGGTGTCACAAGACCAGAATTTGTTGTTCATCCCTAATTCCTCTCGAACAGAGTGGCTAGCTAAGCCATTTCTGAGTGGCAGTTAAGAATCAACCACATCGCTGTAGGTCTGGAGTCATATGTAGGCCAGCCCAGGATTTCTTCCCCTAAAGTACGTTATTACACCAACATCCAATTGTCTTCTCCTGCCTTCAATCTGAGTATAAGGGAGTATTCCTATTATTATTGGAGTATAAGAGTATGGAAGTCTTACTATACAAGGTATTGTGAGCAGTTTTGGTCCACTTATTTAAGGACAGATGCCATTTAATTGGAGGCAGTTCAGAGAAGGTTCGCTAGGACGATCCTGGAATGCAGGGATTGTCTTCTGAGCAAAGGCTAAAATGATTGGGACTCTACTCACTGGAATTTAGAAGGATGAGAGATAATCTCATTGAAACATATAGAATGCTTAAGGGGCTTGACAGGATAAACACTGAGAGGATGTCTCCCCTTATGGGAGAGTCTAGAACCAGAGGGCATCATCTCAGAATAAAAGGGCACCAATTTAGGCCTGAGACAAGGAGGAATTTCTTCTCTCAGTTGGTTGTAAGTCTTTGGAACTCCTTGTCACAGAGAACTGTAGGGGCAGAGTCCCTGTGTATAATTAAGGCTGAGATAGATTCTTGATGAGTAGGGGAATCGAACATCACAAGGAAACAGCAGGCAAGTGGCATCAGCAATAATCCTATTGAATGGCAGAGCAGGTTCAAGGGGCTAAACAGTCTACTCCTTTTCTTATTACTTCTGATCTTATAAATGAGCATTTATTTTTGTTCTTTCTAGCCTCTCCTCTTTTGGATGGGGCAAGAAAGGGGAGGTGATGGCCTAGTGGTATTATCACTTGACTGTTGATCCAGAGAGCCAGATAACATTCTGGGGACCCGGGTTCGAATCCTGCCATAGCTGATAGTGGCACTTGAATTCAATAAAAATGTGGAACTAAGAATCTAATGACGACCATGGATCCATTGCCAATTGTTGGGAAAAGCCCTAATATCCTTTAGGGAAGGAAACTGCCAACCTTACCTGGTCTGGCCTACATTTGACTGCAGACCCACAGCAATGTGGTTGAGTCTTAACTGCCCTCTGGGCAATTGGGGATGGGCAATAAATACTGCCTAGCCAGCAGTGCCCTCATCACAAAAATTGTGATATGAATGAATAAAGAAGAAAAAGCTACCTCTGTACATGTTCAAAATCTTTTACATCCTTTACCAATTCTGATATTAACTCTGTTCCTCTACACATATGTTGCCTGAGTAGCTAAGAATTTCCAGCATTTTTGCTTTTATTTAAATTTCCTGCACTCATATTATTTGTTTTTATATGAGATTTCTGACCAATTCTGGCCGCCACATCACAGCAAGGACATGGAGGCTTTGGAGAGGATGCAGAAGAGGTTTACTAGCATGCTGCCTGGATTACAGGGTATGAGCTATTAAGGAGAGGCTAGAAAAACTTGGGTTGTTTTCTCTGGAGCAATGGAGGCTGAGGGGAGGCTAGATAAAAGTTTATAAAATTATGAGATGCATGGATAGGGTTGATGGTCAAAATCATTTTCCCCAAACTTGAAATGACTAATACTAAGGGCCATGCATTTAAGGTGAGAGGGGGAATGTTCAAAAGAGATATGAGGGGCAATATTTTTTTTTTACACAGAGAGTGGTAGGAGTCTGGAACACACTGCCAGGTGTGGTGGTGGAGGCAGATACAATAGGAGCATTTAAGAGACTTTTAGAAAAGCACATGAATATGTAAGGAATGGAGGGATAGGGACTAAGGGCAGGCAGAAGGGATTAGTTTAGTTTGGCATCATGCTCGGCCTAACGTTGTGGGCCGAAGGGCTGGTTCCATCAAAAGATAACAGTTAATGCTGCTTCACTGAAATGCCAGTCTGGATTATCTTTCCAAGAGTAGTCCTTGAAACCTAAACCTTCTGATTTGGAGGTGGAAATACTGCCATTGAGCTCAATTGATGTAACACAACAGATTACTAAATTAATTGTGCACTTGGAAGTTTTTGCTAAACTCAGAAAAAGTCATCTTGTATTAGCAGAGTTGGATGTCTATAATCAGCCATGTCTTTGACTTATCACTTGTATAATCAACTTTAACTTTTTAAGAAGGCAGTTCCCAACTCTGAGCAAACTACAAACTTGTGTAGCTGGCGATCCATAAGAACAATGTAACACAAAAGCAGAGAGTTAAGCCATAAGGAAATACAGCAAAGTTATATTACATGGAAAAGATAGAAATAGTGCAAATCCTAAAAGTATTCCTCAGCGCAAGATGAGCAATTATTTAATGTATACAAGTCTGTATGAATTAAACAAGTGTTTTATCCACAAGAATTTAAATGTGATTAATTACAATTACACTAGTACTGGCATTTACACAGACCTTGTAATTCGATAGAAGTCTTGATGAGAGATGGTGTGTGGACCTGAACTCTCACTCATCCCATAAAGTTCAAAAATTGTGATGCGAAGGCTTAGGAAGTAATCCAGTGTTTCTTTGGTAATAGGTGCTGCTCCTGTAAAGCACTTACTACATTGGTCCAGGCCCAATAAAACACGAACTTTCTTAAATACCAGCTGATTTGCCAAGGTGTATCCACAAGGCAGCAATGTGTTTCTGTAACATAAAACATGCATATAATCCCTTTGATCTCATCACACAGCATAAAACACAAAGAAGCAAAAGAATAAGAAATACTTGTTAACAAAAAAAAATTTTTTAAATTTAGTTCATTTTTTGAAGAAAGGAGTTAGGAGAGAGACTGTACAGAACAGAATCAGGGACTTGATAATTCCAAATCAGAGGGGATCTTTAAAAAAAATTTGCTATTGTCAATGAGAAATCTGATCAACACAATATCTTAATGTTGCGTTCATAAATGATTTCTACATGTAGCCCAAATTAACTGCACTGTTGAATAGAATCCCTACAGTGTGGAAACAGGCCCTTCGGCCCAACAAGTCCACACCGACCCTTGAAGGATCCCACCCAGACCCATCCCCATATAACCCACCTAACCTACACACCCCTGAACACTATGGACAATTTAGTGTGGCCAATCCACCTAACCTGCACATCTTTGGACTGTGGGAGGAAACTGGAGCACCTGGAGGAAACCCCTGCAGACACGGGGAGAACGTGCAAACTCCACACAGATAGTCGCCCAAGGGTGGAATTGAACCAGGGTCCCTAGTGCTGTGAGGCAGCAGTGCTAATCACTGAGCCACATGCCGCCCTTAATAGCTGTACGCATTAGCAAAAGACTCAATATTGCTACTTATTAGCACTAAGATTGGGGAGAGACATTGTGGGTAAGTGAACTTGATCTGAGAAAGAAAATTAGCTGAATATGAGAGTAAATGAACACCCGATGTTCCTCTTCCAACACTACACTGCAGATCTACACTGTAGAAGAGGTGGAAAGCAGGAGAACATTCTGTTTCCATAGGGATTCAGGAAGCCATACACACAGTGAGAAGGCAGAGGGAACAAACAGCCACACAAATCAATGACATGTGCAATCTCAAGGAACTGGATGCAGTGCCACAAGGTTAGTGAATTCACCTTTAAATACCATATCCTACCAAATGAACCATTAACCCCAGAGCTTCAAATAAAAACCTGAGGAACAGGGCCCTGATCAAGAGCAGCCAGAGGAGGAGAGAAGTGGTTTGAGCTCAGTTAGAGCGGGAGAGGAGTGGAAATGGTGGAACCTACACTGAATTCAGAGGGAGAGTTCCTGAAGTGACATCACAGTTCAAGAAATGACTTGGAGCAAGAGGAATATCTGCTTGGGAACAATCTTTAGTGGGAGGGAAACAGAGTGTAAAGTCCTTACTTTTGTGGTTTGTAGTTTGTTAAGAACAAAGAGAAAGAGAGAAATCCGATTCGGTGAGTAGTGGGCAAGGTTGAGTAATTGGTGCCAATTTGTTGTTTGTAGTTGATACGGTTCACAATGGCAGGAGAACTCAGCCGCATGGAATGCTCTTCCTGCAATATGTGGGAAATCAGGGACATGTCCAGTAACCATGGTGACTACGTATGCAAGATGTGTATCCAGCTGCAGCTCCTGATGGACTGCGTGGAGCAGCTGGAGCTGCGGATGGACTCATTGTGGAACATCCATGAGGCTGACAACATCATAGATAACACGTTTAGTGAGTTGGTCACACCACAAGGACTATACAGGCAGGAAAGAGTTGGGTGATGAGCAGGAAGACTAGTAAGTGTGGGCAGGTAGTACAGGAGTCCCCTGTAGCCATTGCCCTCTCAAATAGATATACCAGGGTGGATACTGTTTGGGGGGGAAAGTGGCCTCTCAGGGGAAAGCAGGAACAGCCACGTTTGTGGTACAGCAGAGCAGGACAAAGACTGGGAGATAGTAGGAACTGCAGATGCTGGAGAATCCGAGACAACAAGGTGCAGGGCTGGATGAACACAGCAGGCCAAGCAGCATCATAGGAGCAGAGAGGCTGACGTTTCGGGCCTAGACCCTTCATCAGAAAAGACTGGGATAGCCTTAGTGATAGGAGACTTGATTGTACAGGGAATTGACAGGCGGTTCAGTGGCAGCAAACTAGAGTCACAAATAGTATGTTGCCTCCCTGTGCCAGGGTCAGGGATGCCTCAGAACAGTAGCTGGGTATTCTGAAGGAGTGACTGAACAGCCAGCAGTCATGTACAGATGGATACAGAACTGGCTCAGTCATAGGAGACAGAGGGTAGCGGTGGAAGGATGCTTTTCATAATGGAGGGCTGTAACTAGTGGTATTCCACAGGAATCAGTGCTGGGACCTCTGCTGTTCATGATCTACATACATGATTTGGAGGAAAAAGTAGCTGGTCTAATTAGTAAGTTTGCAGACAATACAAAGATTGGTGGGGTTGCGGATAGCGAGGAGGATTGTCAGAAGATACAGCAGGACACAGATCAGTTGGAGGCAGAGGCAGAAAAATGGCAGATGGAGTTTAATCTGGACAAATGTGAGGCAATGCATTTTGGAAGGTCAAGCAGAGGTGGAAATTATACAGTGAATGGCAGAGCCGTTAGGAATATTGATATGCAGAAGGATCTGGGTGTACAGGTCCACAGATCACTGAATGTGGTACCGCAGGTAGGTAAGGTAATAAAAAAGGCCTATGGTTTTCTGAAGAAGGGTCTAGGCCCAAAACATTAGCCTTCCTGCTCCTCTGATGCTGCTTGGCCTGCTGTGTTCATCCAGCTCTACACCTTGTTATCTCTATGGCATGCTTATCTTCATTGGAAGGGACACTGATTATTAGGATAGACAAGTTATGCAGTAGCTTTGTAGAACTTTAGTTAGGCCACACTTGGAATATTGCGTACAGTTCTGGTCACCACACAGCCTGAAGGATGTGGATACTTTGGAGAGGGTACAGAAAAGGTTTACCAGGACGTTGCCTGGTATGGGGGATTTTAGCTATGAAGAAAGGTTGAGTTTATTTTTACTGGAACGCAGGAGGTTGAGGGGCAACCTGATAGAAGTTTATAAGATTGTGTGAATGGCATAGATAGGGTGGAAAGTACGAGGCTTTTGCCCAGGATGGAGGCGGCAATTACTAGGTGACACGGGTTCACGGTGTGCGTGTGTGTGTGTGTGTGTGTGTGTGTGTGTGTGTGGAGAGGGGTGGGGTGGGGGGCAGAGTTTATAACAGATGTGCGAGGCATGTTTTTCACACAAAGGGTGGTGAGTGCCTGAAAATGCTGCCAGAGGAGGTGGTGGAAGCAAACACAATAGCAGCATTCAAGAAGCATTTGGATAAATACACGAATAGGAAGGGAATAGAGGGATACGGATCCTGTAAGTGAATACAGTTTTAGTATGGAAGGGCAAAATGTGTCAGTGCAGGCTTGGAGGGCTGAAGGGCCTGTTCCTGTGCTGTATTGTTCTTTGTTCTATACAGAGTCTTTAGTTTTCTTGTTTTTGTATTTTTGTAAACTGTAGCATTTTTTATTAATTTACTTTAGTTTGTACACACTATCACTTACGATCATGGTCTATCATTTTCTATCTAATTCCTTTCTGTCTTACCTTCACTCGTTGCAGGGGGGAGGGGTGGGGTATAATGGCATTGTGGTACTGTCACTGAAACAGGAACCTAAAGCCCCAGGCCAATATTTTGGGGATGTGGATTTGTATCCCACCATTTTATTAAATACAAATCTGGAATAAAAGCAAATCTGATGATGACCATGTAATCATTGTCAATTGTTGTAAAACCCGTGTGGTTCTTTAAGGAAGGAAACCTGCTATCCTTACCTGGTCTATCTTACAGTCATTTCAGACTCACTCTGAACTTAACACTGAACAACCGGGAATGGGCAATAAAGCTGGCTCAACCAGCGATTTCCACATCACATGAAACAACAACAAAAAAAGATTTACCACATATTTTTGCCTTTTCTACTGCCACCACGTTGTGTGCACGTGTTCTACCTCTATTTGGTGCCCCGAAGTAACATTGCTCAAGTCCATGGAACATTCTGCAAGAGCTATTCATTTACAATTTAATCTACACACATGTTCTTTCAGGATTCAGGTAGAGCTTCTTCTCCTTCCCAGATCTCTCATTGTGCCACTGACATCATTATACATTGACTTTAATATCATCACCTTACAGAATTGGATTCACTTCATTTAAATATTTAAAAATTGCCCTTTGCATTTGACTATAACATTCAAGTGTCCTTGCTATAGATATATGTGCATAGAGCTATATTAAAATTTTATAAAAACTTAATTCATCCCACTTTATTTCACAGTTTTAAATTACAGACACACAGTAAATCCACATGTTTTAGGGCACGTACCTTCAATGATCATTGTTTTTTGAAAATTTAACTTTTTTTAGTATGATGGTAAATATGCCAATTGAACTATCCATGAGAACAAAGAACAAAGAACAAAGAAAATTACAGCACAGGAACAGGCTCTTCAGCCCTCCAAGCCTGCGCCGACATGCTGCCCGTCACAATTAAAACCCTACCCTTCCGGGGACTGTATCCCTCTATTCCCATCTATTCATGTATTTGTCAAGATGCCCTTTAAAAATCACTATAGTATCTGCTTCCACTACCTCCCCCGCCAGCGAGTTCCAGGAACCCACCAGCCTCTGTGTAAAAAACTTGCCTCGTACATCACCTTTAAACCTTGCCCCTCGCACCTTAAACCTATGGCCCCTGGTAACTGACTCTTCCATCCTGGGAAAAAGCTTCTGATTGTCCACTCTGTCCATGTCCTTCATAATCTTGTAGCCTTCTATCAGGTCGCCCCTCAACCACTGTTGTTCCAGTGAGAACAACCCAAGTTTCTCCAACCTCTCCTCATAGCTAATGCCCTCCATACCAGGCAACATCCTGGTAAATCTTTTCTGTACCCTGTCCAAAGCCACCATATCCTTCTGGTAGTGTGAGAACCAGAATTGAACACAATATTCCAAATGCGGCCTAACTAAGGTTCTATAAAGCTGCAACATTACCTGCCAATATTTAAACTCAATGCCCCAGGCAATGAATGCAAGCATGCCATATGTCTTGTTGATGACCTTCTCCATCTGTGTTGCTACTTTCAGTGACCTGTGTACCTGTACACCCAGATCCCACTGCCTATCAGTACTTTTAAATGTTCTGCCATTTACAATGTATTTTCCATCTGGATTAGACCTTCCAAAACTCATTACCTCACATTTTTCTCTATTAAACTCCATACGCCATCTCTCTGCCCAAGTCACCAACCAATCTATATCCAGCTGTATCCTTTAACGGTCCTCATCGCTAATCGCAATTCCACCAACCTTTGTGTCATCAGCAAACTTACTAATTAGACCAGTTACATTTCCTCCAAATCATTTATATATATTACAAACAGCAAAGATCCCAACACTGATCCCTGAGGAACGCCACTAGTCACAGCCCTCAATTCAGAAACACATCCTTCCACCGCTACCCTCTGTCTTCTATGACCGAGCCAGTTTTTTATCCATCTTGCAAGCTCACCTCTGACCCCGTGCGACTGTATCAGTTTGCCATGAGGAACCTTGTCAAAGGCCTTATTGAAGTCCATGTAGACAACATCCACTGCCATACCCTCATCGATCATCTTCGTCACTTCCTCAAAAAACTCAACCAAGTTAGTGAGACACGACCTCCCCTTCACAAAATCATATTGCCTCTCGCTAATACACCCACTGATTTCCAAGTGGAGTAAATCCTGTCTCGAAGAATCCTCTCCAATAATTTCCCTACCACTGACGTAAGGCTCACCGGCCTATAATTAGCTGGATTGTCCCTGCCACTCTTCTTAAACAAAGGAACAATACTGACAATTCTCCAATCTTCTGGGACCTCCCCTGTAGCCAGTGAGGATACAAAGATTTCCCTCAAGACCCCAGCAATTTCCTTCCTTGCGTCTTTCAGTATTCTGGGGTTTGTCCCATCAGGCCTTGGGGACCTATCTACTTTAATGTTTTTCAAGACCCCCAATACCTCCTCCTATTTGATCCCGACATGACCCAAACTATTTACACACCCTTCCCCAGACTCATCATCCACCAAGTCCTTCTCTAAAGTGAACACACAGATCCCTGAGGAACGCCACTAGTCACAGCTGTCCAGAGGTAGATAATATTGACAAAATCAGGAAGAAACTGGACATATATTTGGGTGGAGAATGGATTGGAGCGGCATATAAACTACACCTTGTTGTTTTACATCAACTTTTAAAACCAACCAGATGGAATGCAACAGGTCCCATACATCTCCATGGTGTCAGAAATATATAGCAAGTATTACTGTTGTGATAACTTCATTAAAAACCCCTGTTTTGACATACCCGTCCATCATATTATAACTTGTTTGCAGGCCAATACCCTTCGCCCACTTAACTAGCTTTCTTTTCAAAGCAGATGATTCAGCACCAGCATCTTTCATTTTTTCCTCCATTTTCTCCCAAACACGAGGTACGCCTAAAAAGGCTGTAGGACGTACTTCTCTTAAAGTAAACAATAAGGTACCCTAAGAAGAAGCAAAAGGGTAAACTTACATTAGGTAAGTTGACATTCCACACTGTAAAACTGATGACAATGTAAATTTCAATATCAAGGCTTGTGTTGAAGCTATACAAAACCAGATGCAACTCACCTCATGACCCAGGGAAGAAGATTCTGCTTGGCATGCCACCGAAAACCAGAAGGTGGCAGGTCCAAATCAGGGTCTGAGCTTGTCATCTCATCTGAAGCAGGGCAATAATTAAAGGGCAACAAATCACCTAGACATTATATGCAATGGGGTGGCCAGCACATGGTGAAACACACTGCAGCTCTTCCCTTTCCACAAGAAGTGCTGGAAAAGCATTCTCCACCTGCACAAGATAGGTGCAGGCTTCGTGCTTGTGCTAGGCTTCCCCAAAACCCAGATTGCTCCCCCAACACCTTGAAGAAAAAAGGCAACAGACACAGCTATAATGCACTGTAAGGGGATGACATTGGTGCAGGATGGGATGCCTACCACACAGTGGAAGAACATCCCACTTTCTGGAGCTGCTGGTCCAACCATCCAGTGGTCTGTAGTGGATGCTACCAGAAATCTACTGCGAACTGTCCCAGGATGAAAGTGGTTAATGGACCCAAGGCACAGGTTTTGGGTGGGAAAGGTTTGAGCATCTGAGAAAGGTGGGGTGATGGGTGGTTTTTAAAATCCAAATGGGAAGGAAAGAAGGGGGAGAGGGTATTATCTTCTGCATACGTAGGGGGTGCAAGAGGTGTCTTTTATGTACAAGGGGATCACTACCCCCCCCTCCCCAACTCCCGATCACGGATTGCACAGCTTTCCTTCACATCCTTTAAAAACAATTGTTTTAAGAAACAGGCTACCTACTCCAACTGTACTCCAGTGCAATATGGTGGCCAATTGTTTATTTATACATGCTAGGCAGGCTGCCAATTTCAGTACCCATCCACCAGGCATGAGCTCGGAGAGGAGTGTGAATGGTGTGAGCAGTATGCCTGGTCTCGCTTATGAGCACCCCTCTGCTCCCCCAGCTCAAAACACATGCAGGATCTCAACCTTGTGTTTTAATGTGATGTGGAGGTGCCGGTGTTGGACTGGGGTGGACAAAGTCAGAAGTCACACCATACCAGGTTACAGTCCAACAGGTTTACTTGAAATCACAAGCTTTCATAGCATTGCCCCTTCGTCAGGTGAAGCAAGACAGAAACACACAGGCACAGAATTTATAAGCTGAGAGATCAAGCACAGAATTTATAGACTGAGAGATCAAGCACAGAGTTTATAGACTGAGAGATCAAGCACAGAGTTTATAGGCAGAGAGGCCATGCAGATGCGACAAGAACAGGTGAGTAAACAAGGCTTTGGAGTAAATTTGTGGTTCGGTTTGTGGGTGTTGAGGTTGGTTGGCTCACCGAGCTGGTTTGTTGTTCCGCAGACGTTTCGTTACCATGCTTAGAGACATCCTCAGTGCAGCCAGATGAGTAAACACCGCGCAACAATCGCCAGACAGGAATGTTCCCTCCCAGTGGGGGAACACTTCAGCAGTTAAGGACATTCAGCTCTGATCTTTGGGTAAGCTTCTCTAAGGCGGCCTTTGAAATACACAACAATGCAGAATCGCTGAGCAGAAACTGATAGCCAAGTTCTGTACCCATGAAGACAGCCTCAGCTGTGATCCTGGATTCGTGTCACGCTATGCTGTTCTGTATCTGTAAAATCTTCCTTACTGTCCTGTTTTGACACCATCACCTTGCTAACTTGTTATGATCTCTCTACCTTAACTAGCTTGTACTGTTTTTCAAAATCTCCCCTCCCCCTAC